GCCCCACCAGTTAGAAATGAAGAGGCTTCTTGGATTGGAGGAAAAACATCTTCTAGAAACCTTCACATCCAGTTGGCTAGATGAAATTTTTTCAAGCTCGAACATGACCTGGATGATTGAGAATCTTCACAGATATGTCCTGCAATGACACATCTTAAAGCACCAGCTCGGTGTAGTAGCAGACCAGCAGATATTAATAAATATAATCTAACATATTTCTGGTTCTCTGATGTGGGATTAAATCTAGAGGGATGAATGTTTCTTTGTTTTTACCAGAAACGTCGTATCTTCTCATTCTTCTGGTCCAAACTGCTGGGCTATCAGACTGTTTATTTGTCACAGAGCAGATTTTTATTAGCCGCTTTCACCTGTGCTTAACCCGGAAGTTACAGGTCTAGCGCCCCTAGTGGCTAAGTGTTACACAGCATGGCTCTGATTATTAAGCTGTTTATCTTTTATTATGCATCGTTTGCAAAAATATCCGCTTATTAAGGAATATAAATTTACTAAAAGTAAATATATTTAAAACAAAGAATTAACAGAAATAATGGTTTTAAGATTGATCAATTACTAAAATATTCTATAACTACAGATGCAATGTGAATATATGATAAAGACCACTTTTACAGTAGATAATAAAAAATAAAAAGATAATCTGCCCATTGGAAACTATCATTTAATCATCCCCTTCTTCGTATTTTGATAATCCAGGTTTTAACTTGTTGCTGTTAAACCTAGCCATGCTAATGCTAACCTGCCGCTATAACTACGATGAACATTTATGGTGAAATTTTGCTTTTTTATCAGGAAGAAAACGGTAATAAACACCAAAGAAACACCAGACTTATCTTTTGAAGCTTTTTTGAGAATTTCTTTGAAGTAAGCTAAATTGGTTAGCCTAGCTTAGCCTAGCATAAATAGGGGGCTGTTCTAGATGAGCGACGATGTCCGATTGGGAGAAAAAGCTTCCTGATCCTGTCACTCCTGTATATTGTATCACATTTGAAGAGTTTGTTAGAGATGATAAAAAAAAACTGTGACTGACTGAGTGATGCTTCAGACATAACAGCCAAGCAGAGCTTGTTCTCATGCTAATTCCAGTTTTCCTAACAAACAACCAGCTGTGTTTACTGTTAAACTGCTGTATTTCCCTGCTGGCTCAGCTGCCTGGCTCGCTAACCCTTTGCATGCTGCCGCCTGGACGGCCCTCCTTGCTTGCCCTGCTGGCTCTCTGTGATTTCCCTGCTCCCTCTCTCCTTCCAGGTTCTGCTGGCTCTTTTAACATGTCAAACTCCGGGGACTTGTTCATGAGCGTGCAGTCTCTCAATGGGGACTCGTACCAGGGGGCTCAGGTGGGAGCCAACGTGCAGTCGCAGGTAGGGACTGGTTCTGGAAAGAAGAAAAGATGCTGTGATGCTCTAATACTTAGAAATGTCATACACCCCCTCTGAATCTGAGACATTGGCGTTAGATTAATTTCAATCCAGTTTATTTCTATAGCGCCAATTCACAACATGTCATCTCAAGGCACTTTACAGTTCATCAGATCATTTAATCAGATTGATTCAAAGTTTCTATCTAAGGAAAACCAGTTGATTGCATCGACTCATTGACTCGAATGCAATCCCTCACACTAAGCATGCTTGTAGCGACAGTGGAGAGGAAAAACTCCCTTTTAACAGGAAGAAACCTCCCGCAGAACCAGGCTCAGTGTGAGCGGCCATCTGCTGAGGCCCACTGGGGTTCAAGGAGACAGAAGCAGACATAGAAAAAGCAGCTGTAAAAGGCGGCCCCGTCCAGGAAACACACAGCCAGGCAGACGAGCTCCGAGCCAGCTCCCATGTTTGATTGATAAAAGTTTCAATTTTCTCGCTAAACAGGATGAATACCACATTGTTACGGGAAACAAATTTACTACAGACAGTATTTTGAGAATAAAATGCCAACAAAATCACCACAATGCTTTTGTTTTGTAATTGGGAAGGAAAATGATTAATGGTTTAAATTCTTTTGTCCATATCCCATATTACAATGCTTCCACTACCATGTCCCACAATGTGGACAAGATGCGCGGTTTAAGTTTAAATTTATTAAAACTGAACTCTTTCCTCCATGTTCGCTCTGTCTTATACATGCGCTCTTCCTACCACTGTTTTATAAAGGCCAGCTGTTGGGAATGATGACTAAATGTTCTCCTTCCTGATTTCTGAATCTCTGCAGCTCCTCCACAGTTATTGTCTGCTCACATTAATGGCATGTTAGTTTTTTTGTAAAGATGTTTTCAGGCTTATCAGAGTAAAGGTTGGTTTATGCTTCAATAAGGTGTTAATGTATAATGAAATGTGCCATTATATAAAAAAAAAAAGCTGAATAAAGTAAAATTAAATATGATCCTGCTGAGTTAAAGCAGCCCCCACCAAACTACCAAACTACACCACAGTGACCAGGATATAGAGGCAACAGATGTTCACCTAATGGACTATAAATAAACTGCAACACATTTCCGAAGTTATTTCTGCTTATTTTAGCCATGATATTGACTTTAGAGTAACAACAAAACAAGAAGAAGTTGTCTTATAGTCATCAGTGAGAAGCAGCCAATCAGAAAACAGGATTTCTATGGAAGCAGTTCTAGTCCCGCCCACAGAGTTTGAAGTTTGAAGTTTAAATGATTTTATGATGAGTCTGCTTAACAGACAACATAAAGTCATAAAAAGTATTATTTTTAAAAACTGACTTAATTATTTAATTTCATAATTTAATAGCTAACTTTAATGATTTAATGGTACATTTAATTATCTAATGTCAGGTTCGTTAATTAAATTGTTCATTTCATTATTTATCGGGGCATTTTTAATCGTCCATCATTTCCCATAATTCAGAGCGGGTTGATGCAGATTGGTCCAGCTCAAGCAGCAATGCCAGACAGTGGTGACAAAAATTGCTAATAAAATGTTAATAATAAGCTTTCTCAGACCTAAAATGAAATAAAGATGTTTTAAGGTGAAAATATAGATTTGTTAAAATGTGCTGTCTACTTTACTATTATCTAGTACTAATTCAAAGAAGAGGTTCTCCCCCCCTTTCCTAGAGAAGGCACATGATTCCTGGCTCGCCGCATTCCACCTCCTGCTAAGTTTCCTTTAACTGTACTGGAGGTATATTAGCTGAATAATTAGCTCATCTGAACATTAATGTAGCCATGGTATAGCTTCTGCAATTCCCCTCGGAATAAATGAGCAAAAATAAGAAAAAGTCATAAAAAACAGAATGCTAAAGATATGCCCTCTTTTAATTTTTGACATTTATCCCATTAATAATAAAAATAAAAATCCCTCAACTTCACCTAAATCATTTCCTCGTTGGTTTCACCTTTACTTCTTGTGTTTGCTACCAGTTTTATTTCTGTAAAGACCGGCCATAAAAAATAAATATCAAATAAAATCTGTAGCTTTTGTTCGTCTTCAACAATCTATATTTATTTATATCAGGATAATGGATATTGAAATATAAAAGGTGGGGGTTCCTTTGCAGTTTGCTGCTCCTTAATTTGGACACACCCACATTATGATGTTAAAAGCTTGCAGCCTGTGCTCTACACTGCCCCCTAGAGTCTACCAGAATATTGCGGGAAGTGAGGAAAATGCTGCTAATGCTGCATAAGCGACACTCCAGAGCATAAACCGACCTTTGAAGGAGTTGAATATAATCATAAGCTTTTTAGTTAGATTTATAAAACCTTTTAAGAAAACATTTCTGTCAAAAAAAATCAAATGGAAATGAAAATAAAGGTTTTATAAATGGAAATTTGAAAAAAAAATGTAATTCAGAAAATGCAACATTGAAAAACGCAATCAAGAACTTTGCTTCTTTATCCGTTTTTTTTTTGTTTTTTTATATTTGATTTTTTTTGTCTGTGTGTGTGTGTGTTTAATTTGTCCCTTTTTTTGAGATTGAGGTTTAGAAATATTGGTCTTTTCAAATTGAATTTTTTCCAGATTATATTTTCTTAAATTGTGGGGGCGGGCTTTCCTTGGGAGGGAGGAGCAAAGAAGCATTTCCATTGGTGTTCTAGATGTTAGCGACATTTTACGGGTCAAGACTCAAAAGAAGGATGAAATTCCTAGTATATTAAAAAAAAGTGAAATATAAACCTGAAAATTCAAAAACTGGAAGAAAGAAAAAAAGCGATGAAAAAATTTGGAGTAAAATTATGAAAAAAACATTAAATTTCCTCTGAAAAACTTTCCTATCTTTATGTTGTTTTATTTCTGGATTACATTTTCTTTTATGTTCTTTTACAAAGCATGTTTTTTGCAACATTAATGGAACAAAATCCTCTCCATACTCCTCCACCTATCAGAGGCAGTTTTGTGCGTTTCTGTCGTTCTGCAGCCCAAAGCAAACACCTCTGCCTTTAAGCTGCCGCTCTGTTTGATCGGACTCTGTTGTCTCTGAAGACCCCCCCCCCTCTCTCTGTTGTCTTGTGTTTTTCTCCTGTTGACACTGACCTTGCTTTGTCTGCTCTTTGGGAATGTTTCAGGTGGATACCCTTCGCCATGTTATCAGTCAGACAGGCGGATACAGTGAAGGACTCACAGCCAACCAGATGTACAGTCCGCAGGGCATCAATGTAAGCACTCCTTTCCCCCCTTCTCTCTCTCCATACCAATTATTTTGAAGCCATGGGGCTCAGAAAGCCACTTATTAGGACTTGTCTGGTCTCCATGGCAACCTATTTGATGGCCTCTGTGTCGCTCGTGCCACGGGGCCGGAGCGCTCGCCGCCTGACCCTGTCACCTCTCATCAGACACCTGCAGCCAGGTGTACGCCTGGCGCTCCGTCCACCTGACCACGATCAGCCAGAAGCTCGTGCGGATGCTCGCCAGGAGGCGGCGTTAAAAATAAAACCTCACTCTGCTAGAATGCCCTCCTCGCGTGTTCCCATCTTGTTTGTCTTATTTTGCAGCAGAGTTTGGGTGTGGAAGTGGGAGCTGGAAGGAGGGGGGGGCTGGTGTAGTTAGCTGGCGGCGGGAAACAGTAGGAAAATTCGCAGCGACAAGCCGTGTCGTAAAGGGGAAAATCGATAAGACAGACACAAGGAGAGCAGAGTGTGGACTTGGGACAGCAATCCAAGCGCATTGCTCAGATCATGTTCCTGCCACATTAATGGCCCTGACAGCGAGCCGCGCCGAGAGGACGAGGACGGTCACAGCCGCGGCTGGGTTCCTCCGCTGTCGCCGTCGTGCCTCACTGGCCATATGATAATCAGATGGAGGGAGAAAAACATGGACGTGTATTCAAATAGGCTCCCTGGCTGCTGGGAGCGCACGCCACAGCCAGCTGCGCTAACCCTGAGAGGCCGCTAACGTATTCAGGCCCTGCTCCTCCCCGGTCCTTTGACCTCAAAAGATGCAGTTCTCCTTGGACGCCTGCTTGCTCTAGCACATCTTACAGCGCCACACTACGCTGTGTTATCCAGCCTGTAAAGAAGCTCTGCTATGTATAATGTAAGAGCAGGAAATCTGTCAGCCAGGCTGATTTATGTAGCCAGGAGGAGGAGGAGGAGGGTCACATGCTATTTCCTGCTTTGTTCTGAAATGTACTGTCATTTTTTTTTCTTTGGCTTAAAAAAAGCCAACAAAAAAAACACCATAGAAATATTCTGGCTTTATAAACGTCAGCAGCTGTGCTCCTTGATGCAGGACAGAGTGGACGGAGTCCATCCACCCAGCTTCACATTTGTTTCACACACTAAAATGAGACTTTTAAATTTCAATAATAAAATCAGTTCAAAACTTTTTTTAAGCGAGGAAAGAAAGAATGCAAAGCATCTTTTGTTGGTTTAACTTTCAAAGATGCCTCATGTTTCCCATCAGATCTTTTATTAAAGTCGTGGGAAGTCATATTTAAATGTCAAAGCATTCTGGAAAGCATTCTGGCTTAAACATGCATATAAATATATTCTTTATCAGGGAGAGAAATTATAACAGAATTTACAACTTCAAGGACCTTTAATAACAAGACTGCATATGTTTGAATTGACCCCAACCTGCCTCTGAAAGCCACCAGCAGGCTGCTGGCACTATTCTGATGGCATATCGGACCCCATTTTGTCCCAAAATTTAGAAAATTTCTATTAAAAAAAAAAAAAAATGTCTTAAAATCTGTGGGGGGGGGTTTTTCCCGTTATCTTATGCAGGCCAGTTAGTTATAGGTCAGCTTATACACATAAATTCGGCCAATCATATATCAACGGTCATCTGTCAATCAAATCTTTTCGGTCATAGCATCTTGATTCGTGTGTCGCAGCTAATATACGCAACGGTTGAAATCAGAATCCTTTCCTTTCCCATTGAGTTGCGTCCCAGTGTTCACGGGGATGGACGTCTGTGTCTTCGGCAGGCGTAGAGCTAACAGAACTGGCAGCGTTGCGAGGCAAGGGCTCAAACATCAGGGTTCCCACGGGTCCTTAAAAAGTCTTAAAAGGCATTGAATTCTTCAAAATAAAACTGAGGCCTTAATTCGTATTAAAATGTCTTAAATCAGTCTTTCGTAGGTCTTAATTTTTAAAACAGCATAAATAGGATTGTTTCTATTACGATTTTGTAATCTAAATATAATGTTAAAATTGACAATTTATTTATTTTATTTTTTTCATAAAAAAAAAATAACGGCTCACCATTATTGGTTCCGTCTCGATAGCGGAACCAATAAAAGCGTTTTTGCGACCGGGACGTTTGGGAGATGCACCATTAACTTTTTGTCTGGAAAATATGAGAAAGTGTAAATGTAACGAAAATTGGTTATCCAGCCAAGAGTTTTCTCCATGGCTAAAACCAGGGAACATACATGAGGCTCAGTGGATTTTGTGCAAGAAGTCATTCAAGCTCGGAACGATGGGAATTAAGGCAGTGGAGTCGCAAATGCGAAGTGCCAAACACAAAGCGTTAAAGGAAT